AGCGATGGACGGGCATTGCTATTAGCTGGGAGACGACCATGGTTCCTGCAAGACAATCAACCCTACAATGGTGATGGCATTGCTGTAGGCCAAGTTGTGATCAGAGGGAGGAGAATAAAAGAGGAGAAGGTGCCATATCCATACACATTCTCATTAAGGATTGTTAGACAAACCACAAAGTTAAAGACTAGATCTAAGGAGGTGATGATGGTTGCCATAGTTTGGAGTGTGATGGATTAGGTGATGCACTTCTGGACAATGGAATGCAAACATTGGTGAGAATCCAATGCCCCGAAAACCTAAGGGCTCCTACGCAAGGCAATATATGAGCGAGGAAGCGTAGTGAGGAAGGTGGCAATTCAGGTGGTGGTAGATTTGAGGAGGGAGTTGGGACTGATATGGAAACTAATTTTTCTATTTGCTTTTCTATCAAGCAAATGATGGAATTGTAGAGTGCGCCGATCACTGTAGTGGAGAGGTGGTCCAACGAGCACGTTCCATCCTAGCCTATTTTCCACTGGATGGTTGCCGACAATAATGAAGTGAACTGAGTTAAGGTGAGAAGAATAGTGACCATGACCAGTTAATCGTCTTAATTGGGACAAATAAATTATGTGACTTTATGTGTAATATGCGACTGTGATCTTAGGGGATTCTAACTTATAATATGTAAATTATGAGTATAAAAATTGTGTGGCATATGACTAGGCAGGGCCGACCTTGAGGCGAGGCAGATGACGCCGCGCCTCAGGCCCAAAACTGGAGGATGCCTCATTTTTTGGCCCCCTGTTTTTTTTTTTTTTGTCCGGCCCAAAACTAGTGGGCCTTAATTTTTTGCCCAATTTATATTTTTTTTAAAATAGTAAAATGAATGGCTCATTGGTCAGTATCCTATATCTTCTTCCACTGTTCCACGAATATACGTAACCTACGCTACCGGTTACCCCCAGCCCCCAGGTCCCCAACCATCGCACAGATGTCGTCTTCCATTTCCGGTGTCGCCAAAAACTTTCCTTCCCTTTTTTTCCTTATTTCCTTTCTTTTCCCTCCCGTCAAATTTCGAAGGTCACTCTTTCAAAACCTAACCGCGCGGTCCGACTTTCGAGCCGTCTGTTCGCTCTTTGAGGTTGACCGTCGACTGGTTCAATTTCTGAGCAAGTCAAACCGTCGAAGTCCGAACCGATTCTAATTTTTGACTCTCTAAGCAGGTAATTTTCTTTATTAAGGTTTTTTGTTCAATTTCGTTTACAATTTTGTTTTTAGGGTTTTCAGATAAATTCTGGAAATTTTTTATTATCAAATTCTTTTAAAGATAATGATTTCTTTTTTTGGATATATTTCCATATTTAAGCGTTTATAGTATTCTTCCCTTTAATATTTCTCATGCCACTGCAAATACAATGTATTCTTTTGGTGAAAAATCAATAAAACAAGTCAGAAGGTTAAAAGTAAACTACTAAAACGAGTCTGAAGGTTAAAAGTAAATGAGTCTCCAGGTTAAAAGTTAACTATTGCAATTTAATGTGAAATTTTGATTTCAGGCTTGTGAGATACTGAGATGTGACGGTGGGATTCTGAAGGGTGTGATTCCATAATTTTCATCGAAATTCTACTTCTCAAGTAAGCAATGGCTTGCCCTAACTTGATATTAAATATATTGAAAATGTTTGAAGCCTTGTCGGCTTATATAGTTGCGGCATTGTCGGCTTATATAATTGTGATCTTGTCGACTTATATGAATGGTTATTGTAGCATGTAGTATCAATTGCACAGGCACACGTAGTAATTGTATTGAAAACTTTAATTGTGATATGATTGAGATATTTTGTAATTGTTTTTTATGCTAATCATTGGACATTAGATATAGACTTGTACAACACGCCTCCTAAATATGAGTCTGGAGCTCTAAAGAGAAAAATGAAACGAAATGAAATTTTGTAGACTTAAAGTCAAGCAAGCAATATAGACAAGTACTTTAAAAGCAACACTGTGAATGAGTTGAATGAGGATGAGGTAGTGATTCTACCTGCCTGTGTTAATGAAGTAGATGATAAGGACGAAGAGGAAATGAAACTTGATTGTGTTAAAACCTGATTGTGCTAAAGCACGCGAGATTCAATATACATATCTTGGCAAAACAATTCAAAATGAGTTGATACAATTGTTGGCTAATGAGGTGGGAAGTTCAATTGTGAAAAAAGTTCAAGATGCAAAATATTTTACGGTTATACTTGAATGTACTCTAGATGCCAGTCACGAGGAGCAAATGTCTTTAGTAATACGATGTGTTGACGATTCAGCAAACTTACCTACAGTCGAAGAATATATTAGCTTGAATTTTTGAAGGTAAATGACACAACAGGACTTGGATTTGCAATCGAGGTTCAAAAGGTTTTGACCAAACTTGATGTTGATGATTTTAGAGGGAAATGACATGACAAATGATCTAACATGAGCGGGAAGCACAAATGTGTGCAAAGAAGAGTACTTGGAATGAATCCCCGAGCTTTCTATACTCCATACGGCGCTCATGGTCTGAATCTAACATTGTGCGATATGGTGCATTGTTGTTCTAAAGTTGTATCCTTCTTTGGAGTGATAAAAAGCATTTTCACATTGTTATCATCTTCTACCAAGCGATGGAAAATTTTCAAGGATAATGTACAAGGTTTGACAGTAAAGCCATTGTCACAAACACGTTGGGAAACTCATATTGAGAGTGTGAAGCCTATAGCGGAGAAAACTGCACAAATAAGAGATGTTTTACTTGATTTGGCAGAAAGTAACGAAGAGCGTAAAGTAAAGAGTGAAGCTGAATCGTTAACAACATATGAACTTCAAAATTTTGAGTTATTGCTTGGCATGATTATCTGGTACAGATTGTTCCATGCAGTCAATATTATGAGAAAATATCTTCAAATCGAAAACATGGAGATTCATCATGCTATCGACATCATGCAAGGACTTGTTTCATTTCTTGAAAAATTTAGTGAAATTGAATTTACTATTGCCTTGGATGAAGTGACAAGAAAGGCAAAGGAAATGGGAATTGAAGCTATA